CCCCTGCTCGTAGTTGAGACTCTCCAAAATCCGAATCCAACTCGCGCACAGAAAGATTCGCAACGGACAAAAGGGGAAACTCATTAATTCAAATAACGGACAAAAATGCCCCTGACCATCCCGCTTCAATGACAGCCACACGATCCGTCCGCCCCAGATCAACGGTTCCTAAGTGGTTACTCACGGGTGAGTAACAAAGGGTTACTCACCCTATCCTAAGCCCACAGCGCCACCGCCACCAGAAAAATCCAACCGCCGCTTCACATCTTCCTCTGTCTCTCTCACTCGCTGAACACCCTCCGCGTCCCTCTCCCCTCGATTTAGATCCCGGCCAATCACTCTCTCCAATCACCCATTCAGATACGGGATACCCCTCTTGCCCCATCCAAAGCCAGTACTCTCTCCAATCACCATTCCTGACCATGAAGATCCTCCACAAGTAGGGATGGCAATTAAACCCATGGCCGTGAGTATCCGACCGCCTCGACCCAGTCAACGCGGGGAATCCCCGCTTTGACCTGGTATGGGGCGGGTATGGGTAAAACCCGCAAAAAGTTTGATGGGTATGGGGCGGGTATGGTTTTAGCCTCCCCCGCCCCATACCCATCCCCATACCCGCCCCACCAAGATAATTTCTTCATATATATATATAAAATATGTGCATCAAATTATAATCTATCAATGATGATGAGGATAACTTGAGAAAATAAATAGTAGAAATGCAATTGATTGACCACCTTAATCAAAATCTAATTCATTTCTCTCAATTCTCATTTCACTCTTTCACTTTCCCCCTTATCAACAAGATTATATTAGTTAATTATTATTTAGTAGATGTATCACAGTTAGAACATAATAATTTGAAAAATATTATACTCTATATTATGTATTAATGGATATTTTAGGATCATAATCTTTAAACCATATTAAAAAAATGACCGTGTTTTATTGACTTCATGATATAATATGTTCGTTTAGAATTATAATTAGAACTTTTCTTGTAAGTTTTAGGTATAATAATATTGGATGTACGAGTATAGGTATTACCCATGTGTACCCGAAACCCACGGGTATGGGGATGGGTTTGCAAAACATTCCCCCGCATGGATACGGGGCGGGTATGGATTTGGATATTTGAAGATGCGTATGGGGATGGTTTAAGTAAAGCCGCCCCATTGCCATCCCTATCCACAAGTGACCATAGACAAACTTGACGAGGAGAAGGCAAATATGGAAAATGAGGTACTTCTAACTAGCTTGTTGTATAAACACTTAATCTAACTCAATAATGAATTCCCATATCGAAATGTTATTTTCATTAGGGGAGATACTATGATGTGATATCCAAAGTTGAGTATGTTTTGGAAGATTGGTGCTACTGCTCTTGCTCCAACTGCCCCAAAAAAATACCACCAGGCCAGCCTGAGTTTTGGTGTCAACAGTGCAACCAAAACACAATTAATGGAGTCCCAAGGTAATTTACACATTACAATACGTCTTTTGACAACACTTTGATACTATTAAATCATCCATCATCACCAAAGACTTCCAACAGGTACAGAATTGTGCTTTCAGTGAAGGATAAAACAACAACAACATACTTCGTGATCCTTGATCATACGGGCAGAAAGTTCTTCAACACCACAGCAGAACAATTGCTCCATGCCAACAACGGAGATATGCTGGAACCACCAGAACATGTTTCTCTCCTCATTGGCAAAACAATAAATTCAGAATCAGAATGACTAGGTACAATATAGAGCAATCTTCAAGCACATACACACTCACCAAAGTCTCGAACATGGATCCACAAAGTATAGAAGCATATGATGCCCTCCCAACTAAGGTACAACTACTAAAGCTCAATTACAACATCGATTGAATGAACTTCTGAGTGTGATAATGTGACCAACTCAGTTTTGAATTTTACCATTGCTTTAGGGGGGAAAATTCATTTTTACATCATTACTAATTACAAAAGGCCTCCACAAAATGTCACTAATCACAGACCTCAAACAAAGACATAGCCTCCACCAGCAGCTGCCAACCACAGCAACAGGCCTACGCTGCCACAAATTCAACCTCGATGGAATCTGATCAACAAGCAACACATTCAACAACAGAGGAAGCAAAGAAAAGGGGAAAGGCACTACAACAAACCTACACCGCCACAACTTCACACTCAATGGAATCTGATCAAGAAGCGACACATTCACAACCAGAGGAAGCAAAGAAAAAGGGAAAGGCAGTCGTTGATTCAGACAACAACACAGAAAAGATTAAATGCTACAAGAGGCGCAAGACTGCTTTGGTTATAACAGATTCCGAGTAACAATCAAGCTCAATACCACCATCCACTACAACATCTACTACTAAGTTATATTACTATCAAAATGTTCCAGACAGCTACCTACTAGAATATAGCCCTTCAGCAGTATGTACATAAATAAATGTTTTGAAGGTTCAACTATCCTATTCAATGTAAATAAATAAAGATTGAGTTCAATGCTAATGTTATATATAGCTTAACAATCATCCTTTCAAGGTCTGTTATTATAATATTTAAACAACATAGCTGATCAATGATCCATGGGCTCTCACTCAATATCAATATATTCTCTCACTTCAATGTTCAACTCTTTTCCCAGCTTCTCTTATGTAACCAGTGGTGTCAACATTGAACAACAGTTTCATTCATTTGCATGCGTGTATCAGTTCTCAAAGTAGGTTAACATTATATATCAACTTGTGATCTGGTCTCTTTAATCCATAACAAGTATAAGCTGCTTGAAGAGCAGGAATGAAAATTGCTTCAATAGTGACCAGAATAAGTTCTGGGGTTAGAGTTGGAGTACAAAGTTGGAAGTAGTTGCAGAATTATGCTTCTAACTCTGATGTAAAAATGTGCTTACATCAATACAACGTTCTAATTTTCTAAATAACCACTGTTTATTCTTTAAGCGACAAAAGAATCTAATACGTGGGACAACTTCAAAGAAACATCGACAGAGCTTATAAAAAAAGTGGTTAACTCTGCATAATACAACTTTGCTTACCAACCACAAACATGAAAATAAGAGAATTTCTCATTGGGACAAGTTGGGAGCTGCTTCTAAGTCCATGCAGTCCCATTATCTTATATGTAAAAGGTGGCTACTCTTTATTGCCCCAAACCACCAACTATTGTTTCATTCCTTATCGTCTATTGAAAAAGCCCTTTTGGTCTCTCTTCCATCTGCCCACAATGGCATGCTTCCTTCGCCGTTTGCCCACCGCCGTGGTCTCGCCTTCGACAATAGGACTCAATAACGGCCGGCTAGCTGCTGCCTGGCCGGCATACAATCAAACTCAAATCATGCCGTACGCGGAACCCATACTGCCTTGCCGTAAAGTCCGCGAATGCAGCTCACCCTGCTGTCCTCTCTTTCGTCGGCGGCGAACTCACCTACTTTTCCAGAGGACCATGCTTTTATGGTGAGCACGCTACCCAGTTCTCCTTCTACACGCTACCCCTGCCAATAGTGAGTCTGTGCCTTTGCCCCTCTCGATTGCTGGTACAGCGACCTAAAATCTACATCCTCCAAATTCTCTCTATATCTCCTCTCACCTTCCTCTTTCTCCACTTCCGCCAGCTACCTCCCACAATTGTTGGTCTTCTACCACATTCGCTTTGCATCGTCCCCACTTATCGCGAATACTGTTCTCACTCGCCGATTCCTCCACACCGCAACCTCAGCGCCGGCCGCTATGAAGCATGTCGTACTTTCGAAACTAACTTGGACCGACAAAGCTCCGACCTTGAAATTGCGCCTTCTCCATACATGGAAGGCTGGGAATCCGGCCCGTCCCGACGGGTACTTCGAATTCTCGACACTGTGGACTGATGAACTGGTTAGTCTTCCACCCTACCTGACCTCTCTCCGTTGAATATACTGTTTATTCCCGATTCTGATTTTCCGTTCCTTTCCTAGGGTGTCCTGGTCCAAGGTCTTTCGCCGAAGCAACTAGCCAGCCATTTCCAAGAGATTCTACACGTTGGGAAGATCTACTTCATAGAACAGTTTGCTCAACGTGAATCCAGGCGGCGCTGGGCACCTTGCTCCAATGACCGCCTCCTGTACTTTAATTCCAATACTTCCTTCACAGCATCACCTGAAGATGATCCCACCTTTTGTCCTGATAGCTTTGAGTTCCGCCGCTTCGAGGACCTCGAAGACATCGCTTCCAGGCATGCCTGTTTAGTTGGTTCGTCTCCCATCCTTAGTTTTATGTTTACACCTGCCTTTTGTAGAGCCTGCTGACCATAGCGACCCTTCTTAGATGTTGTCGGCCGCCTGGTATCGGTGACACCCATCACCTATTTCCAGAAACATGAACGTTCCATCAAACGCCAAACTGTTGTCATTGAAGATGAACGGTGGGTTTTGTGTCGAATTCTTTACCTCTTCTGAGTTGTTTTTAGTAACTGATGCTTCTTTACTACTTCCAGCAAGGTATCCCTGTCAATCACGCTTTGGTCTGAATTTGCCGAAAAGCTGAACGTGGCTCACCTCATGGAGCTGGACGGGGCCGCACCCGTGATTATTGCATTCACCAGTCTCAGCCTTTCCATTTGGCGTGGTAAGTTTCCCATGTTCTTCATTTATTTGCTTTTGACAGAACCCCAATAGTTTAACTTCCAATAATAAGCACAACCTGCCTGGGAATAGGAGAAAGTGGCAACAGCTGGTTCAGTGTGTATGTTTTGGCTGTTTTTAGCCTTCCTGCCAACAGTACTTTAGGCCCCAAGTTGATCTGAACTGTACATTTAATGGAATCCAATATAATGTTGTGTCCAGAAACTTTAAACCTCAAATCATGTACAACGTCTGTCTTTGATTCAGACCTTCTCATCCTCTCTCGGAATATAGGAACATCCGTGAACCTGTTTCGAAGTTAATAGTTTGGGGAAGTATTCATCCTTCTATTGACCTTTCCGTTTCCTGTAACTCTGAGCTGGCCTGCGTCTGTCCGTTCACCAAACTCCACGATTATATACTCTCCAGTGACTATAAACCTAGATTAGCCGTTCTGCAAATTCATTACAGCTCACTTAGTTGTTTCTTTGATTTCATATCCCCACTACACGGTATGCTTCGATGAGGGCGTGCCAAACTTCCTCACTTTTGCTTGCCTTAGTTTATGGTTCCTTCCTTCAATCTGTATTACCTGCTACCTTTACTATTGCGGCCTTTCTCTACAGGGAACGTTGGAGCGTCCAATACTACCGCAACTCGCATTGTCATGTCCCCCGCGGTCCCACAGTGTGCGGCTCTCACGGTCTAGTACGTATTCCAACATGCATAGTTGTATTCGTTTTCGGTTACTTGCTTGCGCTGTAAGTGCGACTAACCTTTTCCCAAATGCAGGTTTGGCGATGCTGTTCCCGCTATCGGAATCTTGCCAGCTGAGTGCGACACCCCTGAAAAGGCGGTGACCATATACCGCGAGTCATTTAGGACACTAACCGAGCTTCAGGCTATTCGCTCCACTGCTACACTGGTCTGTTTTTCCTGCGCAGATCACCTTGAGATGCTCATCATGAGTTATCACTCGCAACCTGATGTCCTCATCTGTCTACTAATCTCTTTTGCAGGGAGGGAGGTTCCGCTGCAGGGGGCAGGATTACTGACGTCGATACCTCCCGTGAATGGTGCTATCTTGGTTGTGCCACTTGCTACAAATCTGCTGTCCGACGAGATGCCCCTTTCTGCTGTGCGAAATGCGACGCCACGGTGCAACCACACCAGCTGAAACAATGGTGTGCTACTGTTGTTTGCTTTCTTTTTTGCCCAACCTACTACCTAGGCTCGATTTACTCACACTTGCTTGCTGTTTTTTTGGTCCATGTCCTCAGCTTTCGCATCCGCCTGATGGTTCATGATGGTTCTGTATTTGCTCCTTTTGTGTTGCTTGGCCAAACTGCAGAGGCATTGCTCAAAGTTTCCGCAGGCACTCTCCTCGGTGCTGCCCCAGATCGAGGCGGAGGTTATCCTCCAGAGATTGAAGCCTTGGTCGGCAGAGAGTATATCTTCGTCGTGAATCTTCCTCTTGCCCAGATTACAGACTCACAGGATGACTTTTCGGTATCCGGTATTGAGCAGGAGGATGCTTCCGCGACTATACAAACAACTAAACATGGTCCCCGCTTCCAGCGAAGCGTCACAAAGACCGCTACGACTGGACTTCAGACTCTTCCTAACAGGTTTGTCGCCTGAACATGTTACTTATTTCAAATTCTACTTCCTCTTGCCACTTAGTTTTGGTTTTCAATATTCACACCAAAACACATGCTAAACCGATATCTTAATCCAGCTCTTCGGTCCCGCTCTTCGAATCACCCCAAAAGCGCAGTCGGCATGGTGTTGAAGGGTAACTGACCAAATTCAGAACTAACTTCTTTTCACAGTCGATTCCAATCATGCCGCTTTCCCCCATTTCTTACTAATCCATGTATTTGACTTTACCCTTACATTCCTTAGGTTTGTTGCGCCTGTGCTGGAAGATTCAACAGACTTTAGGGCCCCACGTCCACAGCAACCCATGGATATGAGGCAAGTGTGTTCTTTTCATTCCTCCTTCGTTGTCACAGTTGCTCTTTGACTTTTTTTGCCCTGCATGCTTCCATAGGTGATTAGAATTCTAATTTTGAAATTTTGCTATATATATGCTTCTCATTTAAAATTCTACTTAACTCTTGCATCTCGCCATAACTGCATTCGCTACATGTATCGCCCGCTAATGTGTCGTGCTAAAACTTCTATTGTTGTAAACTACTACTCCTACTTTCTATTTTAACAAGAAAATTGTGTCTTAGTATTCTTTTTGTTTTCATAATTGTTGCAGCGCAATTGATGGTCCTTCTGCCACAACAGCCTTCAATGAAATGCTATTGGTTGCACATGTACCAAAGACACCTGCGAAGGCCATTGAGCTGCCTGTGCCTGCTGATTTACTCGCCAAACTTCAGTCGCCAATTTCTGCTGTGTACGTCTTGACTGCCATACAACTTTCGTATGCACCTGCGTTCGGATGCCTAGATTTAAGCTAACGCACAGAGACTCAACTGGTTTCCTTTTTTTTCTATGCAGCCTCAGTTCTCCGATGTCAGGAATCGACGTTGCTACCACACCATCCAGTCATAAAGGCAAAAGTAGTGCTTCGAGCAGCAGCAATCCCGCCACCATTGTACAACCTGACAAACTTCTGACAAGGTGTGCTTCTAATCTTCCTCCTCTCAGACCTTTCTACGTGCAGTCACTACATTAGGTTTACTGATGTGCATAACCACTTCTGCCAGTGGGTCTGTGGACACATGTGTTGTTTCCGCGGGGAAAGAACAGTCTGGACTCACTGAAAAACTACCAACTTCTTCAGGCTTGCCCAAAACCATTCCACCTTCTATGCTCCCAACCAACCCGTACATCTCTATCTAGACTGTTTTCCTGACCCACCTTCGTTACGATCACAAACTACCTTTGGTAACTTCTGTGTTTCTACTCACCTTTCTGTAGACTCAGTAATCCACTTGCAAAAGTGAAGGTGGAAAAGCTAGAAGCGTCCATGTGTCAGAAGAACAAAAAGAAAGGTTTCTAAAGGCAAGGGAGTGGCGAAAAAGCTCTTCTAAGCATTAAAGCATGCTGCTTGGTCACCGCCTGATGTGCCCGTGACCCTCTTTTATGCTATTTTGACGTCAACCTGCTGGTTATTCTCTTTCGGCTAAGAATGCCTGCTAACAGACTTTTCAATTCCATGCTCTGCACTCTATATTTTGCTCCAGGCTTCACTACCTAGAACGCAACTTAATTGTAATCATCCCTCCTCAGTGTGCGCATGAATGTTCTGAAACTATGTTTTCACTCTTTGAACCAATCAATTAGTACTCTGGTTTTCCCCTACGTCAACTGATTTTTACTACTGTACAACTCTACTTTACAATTACTTGGAAAGAAAGACAGTTGCAGCCAACGATACTACTACTTGGTTTTTCTTTCCATCTTATGTTCGGCATTGTCCTTCGTTGAAAGAATGTTCTCCTGTGTGAGAAAACCGGCAAACAAAATTAAACAAAAAAATGCAGCATGGTTTGAAAGCTTTGCTAATGATTGCATGCTTCCAAGACAATAACCATTTCCTGATCAATTACAAATAGTTACAATGTATTGACTTCTACTTCCTGCTTCCAACATGTTGTCATTACATGTACTTTTATAAACAAAGAGATTTCCATATATTCTGACAGAAATGGACCTTTGATTGATTAAGTTAGGTTGTGGAGACCATTCCTTTAAACCGCCATCCCTGATTGGATCCTTTTACACAAATCATTCTCTTCCACCTACTCTTCCATACTGTGAAAAAAAAAAACTACTCTTCCATCCTTTTCATGTGTTCTTATACGCTGACTCTTCTCTTCTTCCTGCAGATTTAAGCTCCTCCTCTTCACTGCACATTCTTTATATCTGCATGTACACACTTGGTTCTTCTGGCCAACTTTGAAAGCACTACCCACCATTTCATGGACTTCCACGCAAACAATATTCCCGTAACACAGGTATCACCTCTTCATCAATGTACCTTCGGTTCCTACCTTCAAATGCAGATTACTACATCACCTGTTTTCCCATCCTTAGCTCTTCAAGGGTTTGCTTCCCATGGTGTCATCCTAGAACAGAAAGTTGCTAAAGTAGTCGTCGATCTTTTTGGGGGTTTCCCGGCAGCATCTCTTACCTGCATCATTATTTGCAAACCATTCTTCAATGTTGGTTGTTTCATGTGTTATCTGTCTTCACTGTGATGTAGATTCTCCTATGCAAAACACATGCCCCTTGAACATTGTATGGAACCTTCTTTGTGTTGTATATATATACTCTAGCGTCTAAGAACTTATGCTCTTATAGGTTGTGCACCTTTGCATGTTCTGTTCTATAGCTCCTCATTATTTGTTCGCTGCAAATGCAGATCCTGCCCATCACCTAACTCGCTGGATCATTGTTCTCTAATGACTAAACCTCTTCATTCCCGATCTGGTTTGTTGGCTCCTTCTTCACCCCCACGAAAAAGTGCGGCACGAGTTTGTTTACCGGCAGGCTCCTTGACACCCACTATTACTGATCGAAGAGGAAGGAAGCCAAGGTTCACTCAAAATGAATTTTGCTCTGTGGCTGGAGAGCAGTCGAGCCGTAATGAGGCGCCTACTTTGCCACCATTAACTATTAAAGAGACTACCAGTCCTCAGCCTCCCCAAAACAAAAAAACAAGTTGGAGTTTCCATCAGACCCACCAAAAATGCAGAAAAGAAAAGAAAGAAGGCCCGTTCTGCAGTCCAACCAGATAGCACTACACATGCATCTTCCACCTCATCGCCTTGCAAGGAACCACATTGTGCTCCTTCTCAATGTAATGGTACAACCTCAACGACAACCAACCAGTCTACTCTTGGTAGAAACCGTGCCTCTGGAGCTAACCATAACACAAATTTTTGGACTGATGGCGTTCTGGATTTTGGCCTGTCTGAATGTATATGCCCATATTGTGGAGCTATGTTTTGGTACGCTGAACGCCTCGACCGGCACTGCAACACTACGATGCCAATCTTTGCTCTCTGTTGTGCCCATGGTAAAGTTTCACTACAGTTACTATGCCAAACTCCTCCCTATTTGGATAGTCTACTTGATGTTAATGGCGGGGCAGAAGCAAAGCACTTTCGTAAAGAAGTCCGTCCCTACAATGGTATGTTTTCCATGAGTTCCATTGGTGCTAGACTGGACAGGCGGGTCACTAATTCTTCGGGTCCTTACTCTTTTGTAATCTGTGGCGCAAACTACCATCACATGGGTTCTTTGCTACCTCTAGAGGGCCAGAAACCAAAGTTCTCGCAATTGTATGTGTTTGATACAGATGACGAAGTTGGCGATCGACTTTCAAATTTTTCATCCACCAATCTTGCTTTGAGGCCTCGGATTGTTGATGGCCTCATAAAAATGTTTGATCAGACAAATGAACTGGTAAAGAGCTTTCGAAGGGTGGCTAGGGAAGTCCAAGATCCAGCCAATCATAACCTCCGCTTGAGAATAGCAGGGAGCCGAGAGAATAACAACCGACAGTATGATCTACCCACTGGGTCTGATGTGGTTGGCCTTATACCTGGCGACTTCAATGCCGAAGATGGTGACAGGGACATTATTCTTAACCATCGGGACGAGGGGCTGCAAAGGATTAACAGTCTCAATCCCAAGTTTCATGCTTTGCAATTCCCTGTTCTTTTCCCGTACGGAGAAGATGGCTTCCACTTGGGAATAGGGTATGACCCCATTCACACATCACCTTCTGCAAAGCGAAAGAATGTCACTGAGCGAGAGTTCCACGCGTTTCGCTTGCAGCATAGGCAAAGTGAAGGTCAGAGTTTGATGCGGGGAGGAAAAACTCTGCAGCACTATTGTGTCGATGCGTTCTCAACCATTGAGCAGAACCGACTTAAGTTTCTGCGTTCAAATCAAAAACTTCTTCGTGCTGAATTATACAAAGGTCTATGTGATGCTTACAGCAAGGGCGACACGACTGGAAAGGGTGTGGGTGCAATTCTCCCGGAAACATATACTGGTGGCCCACGGTACATGAAGCACCAGTACCTTGATGCCATGGCCATTTGTAGGCGCATAGGAAATCCAGACTTATTTATAACGTTTACGTGTAATGCACAGTGGCCAGAAATCACCAAAGCCTTTGCGGAGGTTGTCGGTACCAAGCCTGAAGATAAACCAGACATAGCTGTGCGGGTGTTTCGAATGAAAGTCGTAGCTTTGAAGGAGCAGATTCATCGCTATCAGTTTTTCGGAAAGTCGGTTGCAGGTACATTTCCTATGCTGATATACTCTTGACTTTAAATGTACCTGTTCCAAACCGTGTGCATAACTTCCAATATTGTTATTCATGTGTTGGGATCCATTCTAAAACCAATAATAGTGACACACCAGTTGTATCTTGCACTAGGTGGAACATTAGAACTTCCCATCAAACTGTTGTTGTAGGTAAATACAAACTCAGATAGGCCAAATTTCGCAGGCTGTGGTTTGTTTGCTTTTCCAGGCCTCAAGTTTCTCAACCACCAACAATTGTTCACTGACATCCAGTTATTTGTCAAGCAAACTATACGCAGGAATCAATTTTACCTTATTATTGTCTGTGCCTCATGCTTTCCTAATATATGATGGTTTCTCCCTTCATTTTAACCACAACAGATATCCATACCATCGAATTCCAAAAAAGAGGTCTGCCGCATGTACATCTATTGGTCTGGCTTCATGAGGCTGCCAAACTGAAAACTATTCAGGCCATTGATGCCACCATATCTACAGAACTACCAGATCCAGAAAAGGACCCTCTTGGATACGCAACTGTCGCGAAGTTCATGCTCAATGGGCCCTGCGGCCAGGAAAATCACAAATCTCCGTGTATGGTTGAAGGGAAGTGCAAGAAATTCTTCCCAAAGTCGTTCAACTCGACAACGACATACGACCACAACGAGTACATTGTTTATCGGCGTCGAAATGATGGTCGAACTTTTGACAAGAGAAATGGTATCTAGACAACCGACATGTGGTTCCCTACAACCGCAACTTACTGGTAATGTTTCAGGCTCACATCAATGTTGAAATCTGCCACAAAGGTAGGCTCATCAAATATCTTTTCAAGTATGTCACGAAAGGGCCCGATCGAGCCACAGTTATTGCAGAGAACTCTCCGGTTGACCAACCAGGTACCTTAGGTGTTAATACACGAGAGGTTCGAGATGAGATAAAGCAATACCTAGACTGTCGTGTGTTATCCTCATTCGAAGCAATGTGGCGACTATATGAATTCCCCATACATGAGAGAACACCATCAGTTGTTTGTCTGCCTGTCCACTTAAAGGATCAACAATCTGTTGCATATGACCCTGATGCATCTCTACAATCAGTTGTTGAGGACCAAGAAAAGGCAAAGACCTTGCTCACTGAGTATTTCACACTCAACCGCGTGGATCCACATGCTAGGTCACTAACCTATGCTGATATACCTACTGCCTTTACATTCCATCTACGGCCAAAACATTGGGCCAGGCGAAAGCTTGGAAATGTTATCGGCCGCATCGTCTTTGTGCCACCGGGATCGACTGATGTTTACTTCCTCCGGATGTTGCTTACAAAAGTACCTGGTGCTACCAGCTTTGAGGATCTCATGACATTGAACGGTGATCTCTGTAAAGACTATAAAGAAGCATGCTCAAAAGGTGGTCTCTTAATAGATGACACCGAACCTCAAGCAACTATTGGAGAGGTTGGTCATTGGGGAATGCCAACCTTACTAAGATCTTTGTTCGTGATGATCTTAGTACATTCTGAAGTAGCTGACCCAAGGGCTTTATTTGAGGATAATTGGAAGCTCTTTGCCGAAGATTTCTCTTATCAAACCCGCCGTGGTTTGGACCTTCAGCACTTTCAACCACCAGCTGAGTACCTGAAGAATGAGGTTTTAAAGCATATCGAGGCTCTTTTACACAACCATTCCAAGACTCTTGCTGATTATAATTTGCCACAACCCAATGAAGATGCTGGAGCTTCTATCCCCAACAGATTGGTTTGTGAACAGCTTAATTATGATGTCTGCATAGAACAATGCAGAGCCACCGAGATCTTTGCGACCTTGAATCATGCCCAATCTGAAGCCTACCGCAAGGTAATGGATTCTGTTGCACACGGAGTTGGGAAGTTTTTTTTTCCTCTACGGACATGGTGGTTCAGGAAAGACCTATCTATACAATACAATCATTGCCAAACTTCGCAGCCAACAGAAGATAGTTTTGGTCGTTGCTTCATCAGGCATTGCAACGACTCTACTTCCAAATGGAACAACTGGCCATTCTAGGTTCAAGATTCCAATAGATATTGATGCTTCTTCTATTTGCAAGGTTAGGAAGGGCACTCACCTAGCAGAATTATTGCAGCAAACTGCGTTGATTGTATGGGATGAGGCACCGATGACTCATCGGTTTTGCTTTGAAGCACTAAACAAAACCTTATGCGACATGATGGATGTGCCTGCCAATGGACAAGGTCACAGGCCGTTTGGTGGGAAGACGGTTCTTCTCGGTGGGGATTTTAGGCAGATCCTGCCCGTAATACCAGGAGGTGGTCGGGAAGCAACTCTTGATGCATCTATAGTTCGGTCCCCATTATGGGCACACTACGAACTGCTATGTTTGCAACAGAACATGAGCATCAATGATGATTCTGTGAATGAAAATAGGATCTTCAACGGCATGACCTTCCCGCAGTGGGTTCTTAGTGTTGGGAATGGACTTGCGCCTGCAGTCTCTCTCTTTGCACGAAAGTTGTGAACGCAGTTGGATGCAGATCCCACAGTACCTCATCCTTCCAAAGAAAGGGAACTCGGTACAGCCAGTCATTGATTATGTTTTCCAAGGCCTTCTTGACTCCTACAGGTCAGTCGCGTTTCTGAAAAGTCGAGCTATCATAACGCCGACTAATGATACAGTTTCACAGGTTAATTCTGAAATTCTTTCATGCATTCCTGAGGAAACAAAAACATACTTCAGCATGGATAGTTTATGTTCTGAATCAACAGACAATGCCGACCTAGACAGTTTGTACCCGGTTGAATTCCTCAATTCCCTCTCTTTCAATGGGATGCCAGAGCATGAACTTTCTCTAAAGCTTTATGCACCTATTATGCTGCTTAGAAACATAGATCCAGCAACTGGTTTGTGTAACGGAACACGGCTGATGATCATCCATCTTGGCGAAAATGTCATAAAAGGAGTTATACTGACGGGTACTAACGAGGGAATGGTTGTCGCTGTACAGCGAATCGCTCTGAACTTGAGTGACAAGAAATGGCCTTTTACAATGAAGTGGAGGCAGTTCCCAGTGCGACTGTGCTATGCCATGACAATTAACAAGAGTCAGGGACAGACTCTAGAAAGAGCAGGCGTGTTCTTACCAAATCCCGACTTCAGTCATGGGCAATTGTATGTAGCTGTTTCAAGGGTTCGATCGGCAGAGGGACTTAGTTTCCTCATTCACAATGGTGACGACATCCCTGCAAATTACACAAAGAACGTTGTCTATGCGGAGCTTTATGATGAATTGTCTCTGCCTGGTAAGTTCGTACAAGCCCTTCCATGCATTGACAACATCAACATAGCTACTGAACTTGGACCTTGAATGCACTCCTTATTACATTTGCTCTGTGACAGGTTCAACTGTTCCAAGCCAAGTCAGGTAGCAAATTTCTTGGTACACAGGTGTGTCTTTTACGCTTTGAACCGATTTAGCTTTTTAGACATGGCAGATGTTTGATTTGTATAAGGTTATGTTTTTGGGGAACAAATTTGGATGAGCCATCTCCACGCATTTCTATAACTGGTATAGTCATGCAATTTCCTTACTTCAAATAATTTATGTTCTTTATGTAGGCAAGCTCTCAAGGGTCATGTCACGTTCAATGGACCTTCAGAAGCTCCTCCCATCTTGCCTATCAATTGCCTTGCTCCTACAATCGTGCTTTTATCCTGTCATCATCACAGTATTTTGCAAGCTAACGATCATGGTATTGACTATGATTAGATTCCCAAATGTACACTACACTGTGAAACAGATGTATTCAGTGACTGTGCTTCCAAATTTCCACCCAGCAATTGAGGTTTGCTAGCCTGCTTAGTGGCACGCCTTTTGTCCTAAGTTTCTTAGTAGAAACATGGAATTCCCTTCATCATCATTGTCGCTTTCATATATCAATATTGGGGACAACATTGTGTATTCTTGGATGGTGTTTACAATGTGTTCATATCAGTTCCCATGCCGAGTTTAGGTTATCATGTCCTCAATTTCATGAATGGTGTTCATATGCTCTCCAGGTCCTTTATCACTTTAGTTGAAACCGACACTGTTAGCTCATGGTTCACCATGTTAGACGCAGTTCCTGATTACCCTCGATACATCTGGACAAGTTCAACTATATTATTTGTTTCCTTTTCATGTCCTCCATGCATTTGTAAGAAACTTGCTTTATCTTTCTACTGACTCCATTATGAACTGCAGCCTAGATGCCAGTCTAAACACCAAAATAGACCAAGGACGGAGCATGTGCTATTCCTAAGGTGGGCCAAGAAGTCAAGAACAACTCAACAAATTTAATAAATAGGTTGCACGGGATAGTTCCAATTGTGCGGTATGGCAAGGCCCTAAAAAAACACGTTAGAGGCTCGATTCTTAGTTAGGCCTACTACCAACCCATTTGAAGCGAGCCCAGTCAGCCCATTCTAATATGCCACAACTCCACCCCAACAAAACGAACAATGACCCACCAGTTGTCCGTACCCATCGTCCCGTCGCTACCTGCCCCAATCACCATAAACCCTTGCCCTGGAAACCTTCCTCCACACCTCATCGTTTCCTTCACATGCTATCCTGTCAATTTCGACCTCTCAGAAAGATGGATCATCTGCCAACGGTACGTTCGTCATGGCTTCCAAGACTCACGACTGTTCTTCCCCTTGCCCTGCAAAAATTAGACCCAACTGAAGGCCTCACTGGCACTGACGCTTCATACTGGTTAGATTCTCTAACCAGTGGGTAGATAATAGATTAGAAAATGACTCCGCTGTGATTGATCCTATCCTGTAGCGGGAACACCATACTGGTTAAGTATGCATCGCTGGATCATGCTTTGTCGCAGGCCTCCATTATTGCAGCAGAGAGGAGTGGACCAATCCTTCTAGCTTTCACAAGTATGATGGTTGTTCTCTCGGAAGGTAACCTATTTCGAATACAGTATTGTCACACTTTTTCCATGTGCAGCTGAACCATAAAAACTGTACTGCCCTCTGCTGTCAAACAGATTCGGACGATTTATACTTGGTAAACACAGCTGGAACACGAATCATCCATGGGTGTTACTCTCATCGATTCAGCCGCCTTAGAGAAATGTGAGTGAACCTCTGCTTCCCACAATTAATGTTCTCTACCGTTAGACAAAAGAGACAGCAAGTTGCTAACTACCTACATGCAATTGAAGGTTTCCCTGTGCACTCACATGTACAATTATGTATGCAGGTTCTCACATGAACACCGCCCTGTAGCCATTGGTCACTCACCCGCTCATCGCCCTAAGTATGTCCAGTACAGCCTGCCACACACAACAACTCTGTTTAATATGACGACTGCCAAAAAACCACTATGCTCGGCACACAGGGTACGAGAAAACACTACGTAATTGGATTTGTATTTATGCAATTTAATTATAGCTTCTAACACTTTGTTGACACTTAATTTAACAGCCTACTGTTTGGTACCTCATCACCATAAAACGAATCCATAACCATACAGGCATCGTTCACTATCATCCTGACACCATTCACTATCCTAGGTATGTCCACTTTATAAAGAGCTAATCATAAAAACACTGCAACATCTAAGACTGAAGCCACCTTCTTAACAGGTTTCGAATGAAAGTGGAATGCAAGGACATCTCCACCTCCTGTGTTCTCCTATTCGACAATGATGCTGCTTTGTCACTACTACAAAAAACTGCTAGAGAATATGCATCACTTGATGAAGCCGCAACAAATACACGGTTGCAATCTGCCGTGGGAAAGGTTTTCAACGCTGAAATTGGAACTACTATGCGCACAGATATGTCGGGGTCAGCTTTTGAGGTCATCACCCTCTGTGACTCACTCGCCTTCGCCATTGCATCCAGCTGCTACTGCGAATCAGACTTCTGATGTCCTAATGGTGCTGCCCTGTAGAAGTTGCATTTCTTTCTTGCTGCATTTGAACCACTGTTATATGCTTATCTGATTGGTACATGTAAGGACCTCAATCGTGTTTTGGAAGTGTTTGAGCCTAACTGAGTGTAGGAGTGAGGCTCGTGAGGGAGGGGAGAGAAGAGCAAGCGATGCGAGAGTATAACTTGTTTACGAATGAGAGCTTTTGATAGAGAGGAAGAACAGCGAAGGAAGTTGGCTAGTGAGAGAAGTGAATGTTTATTAGTGAGAGAATCCAAAAACCGATCCCCTACCTACCGTAGTAAATGCCCCTTTTATAGTACATTACAGTAGTGGGTATTTAATGCGATAAGACTACTACATGTTTCAGAAACTTAGGCCATGCTTTTAGGCCATAATCATTCCTAGGACCTGACCCAGGACATGACTCTTCCTTCGTAGGTTGCGGCACCATCCTCTCGATTCTCCTTCCCCATCCTAGGCAGGGCAAAACGACACTGGCTTGAGTAAGACCAAAACGGCGCTGGTTTTGGACGATGCAAAATGACGTCAGCCTGGGCAGGATCAAACGATGAGGTAAAACGACGTCGGCCTGGGCAAGATCAAAATGACACCGCTTGATGCTTCCACCGTTTGCGGTCATGTCCTTGCTTGCTGGAAGTTCGTTCGGCCGTCTTGCTCGCGCGACTGGATCCGAGCCACATCCCCAACAATTCCCCCCCACCAGGTGGTATTCTGTGAATGCCGCCTGTTAGCTTCCGCGTGGCGGGCTCGGTTCCTCACGCTTCACGCGCTTCCTTGGGCTATCGATGCGCATGTATACACCTTGCTGCGCGCGCTCAACTCTTCGCGTTTCGCATTTCTTTCCTTTCGCGCATGACGCCGCTGTTATCTGCTATGTGCGCCCTCCAGGTTCCGCGCGTGTGGCCGGCACGAACGTTCTTTTGGGCTCCGCGAGTGGGTTCTTTATTAGATGTTTTGTTTTATTTTCCGCGGCCGCCTGTTAGTTTCCGCGGGTTATCGATGCGCGCACGTACACCTTGCTGCGCGCATTCAACTCTTCACGCTCCACGTTCTTTCCTTCGCGCGCGACGTCGCTGTTATTTGCTATGTGTGTTCCGCGAGTGAATCCCTTTATTGAATGTTTTTTCTTTTCCGCGGGTGTACCCATGCCCCCCCCCCCCCCCCCAGGCGGTGTGCGTACCCTGTGACGTCACCGCCTAGCCTCTAGCTAGCACTTAGCCCTAGTATCAATAGGTGTTGACGTGGCGTGCCGTCATTCACTCGTTTGAGCGGTTACTTTCTTTTTGAATTTCAAAAATTCTGGACGTTTCTGACGTTTCCGATTCTCGATGCACCTTTTACCCTTTCAGTTACCCCTCTTGGGGTTATAAATACTTCACTGTATCGGAGAGGAGTCCTTCATCTTCACCACTTCTGCTTTCTCTTTCATTGTTCTTCTTTGCCGACGAGATTTTTCTTCTTCTCCGACGATCTTGCATCTCAAAATCGTTCGTGGTTTTCTTTCTCGGAGACACAAATGGCCAACGCCGATGTGAACAACGAGGTCGTGGTCGTAGCAGACGAAGAAGGTAATCTTTCTCCCTTCTCTCATGTTTCTTCCGATCCATCGCTGGATCTGGTCGAGTCCGACAACGATGGCGGCGGTGGGAGATTTCCGGCGACGCACCTGGTCGAGCCCGACAACGATGGCGACGGCAGAAGGGTTCCGGCGACGCCTTCGTATGATGCTGAATCTGGAGGGGATTTGGTGGAGTGTGGAGGCAGCGAGACTAGCGCGGCTCAGTCGTGGGGAGTGTTAATTATCCGCCGCGATCGTGCTAGTGGGTCCGGCGCCGCCCCGCTTGAAGCCGCCGGGAAGTCGGAGACCTCCTCTGAGCCGCTTTGTGTGTTGCGTGTGACCGAGGTGATGAGTAGGCTCGGGATGCGCGGAGTGGGGGCCACGTACACGATTTTGGAGTGGGAACAGATGTTTGATGTGGGGCAGGTTCCTAGTGACAACTTGGTGCGCGGACCGGACCATATTTCAGTGTATGGGCGGCGGGAGGTTTCGGAGCTAGTGCGCGGATTGGGGTTGCCCCCCAATTGGCAGTACGCCGTTCCATCCGCGCGTAGCCGAATCGGGAACTGCCCCGCAGGGTGGTTCGGCGTGTATTCTGAGTACTGGCGGATGGGTTTCAAGTTCCCTGTCGACCCATTGTTGTGCGCCCTTTACAGGCATTTGGGTTGCTCTATTGCGCGCGTGTCTCCATCCGTGGTTATGCATGCATCCTGTCTCCGGTTGGTCTGTAAGAGGTTGGGTATTCGACCCACCTATGGTCTTTTTCGGAAGATGTACAAAATAATGGGGTCGACCGAGACGAGCGATTGTCTTTCCATTAGGCGGCGAGACAAGCGGCCTGACGATTTTGTCTATGGTTCTCCGAAGTTGGAGAAGAATTGGTTTGCCCGCTTCTTCTTCATCAAGCCGGTCCTGGGGGAGTGGGCCGAAGAGCATGTAGAGGAGCCCACTGTTTGGAAGAAAGGGAGCTTGCGCGGATACGAGTCCGCGTTGGGGAAGTATGATGGGCTCGATGAGGAGCATGAGGCTTGCATGCCTCATAGGACAAATCTTTACTCCAGCGGCGTCCGCACGCTGTTCTGGAGGAGCTTTTTGCTGATGGTTAGTTTTATTTCCTTTTTTTGTTGCATTCTATCATATTAACGGTCGTCTTACAACTTATTGGCGCAGGCGTTGATTTCTCATCGCTGGCGAGCATGATGTCGGTGGAGGAAGTCGTGAAGGCCCCGCGCGGTGAGAAGAAGAAGAGGAAGGAGAAGGAGAGAGATGGTGCGCGAACAAGTAGCGCGAAGAGGAAGGAATCTGAGCAGGCCTTGACCTCGAACAAACCGGCGAAGGCGACGCGAGTGGTTGAGCAGCCTCCGCCTCGGGTGGTTGATCAGGCTCCGCCAGTGAGGCAGGTGCCTCTAGTGAGTAAGCCCCCGCGTCCGGAGGGGACTTCGGCTGGCAGTTCGTTCGGGGCGACTGTTCAGCAGACCTTGACGGAAATGGCCGGCATCGATTATTATCGCGATTTGTGGATCCACACCGGCGCGGCATGTAATAGCCAAGCCGCTCAGGCTGCCCTCCGCGCTCTTGGGCCGGTACTCAGCGTCCCTCCGCGGTTGGAGAAGTCAGATCCCCTGCAGGATCTTGCCCAAATTCACTTCGCGGTATGTTTGTTTAACTCTTCTCACTTCATCTTGTTCGCTCTAAGTCATTTGGCGTATTCACTATAAGTCATTTGGCGCATTGAGAGTAGGGTCTGATGTGTGCCTTCCGCGCTCAACAAGAGCGTGCTCGTGATCATGCGAAAGCGAAGGCTGAAACGGCCTTGGTTGTTCAGCTGGAGGGAAGGCTCGCGGGGGCGGAGGGGTGCGCGGAAGTGGCGACGAACAAGGCAAATGAGGCCCTGGAGGAGCTGGGAGTTTTGCAGAGTAAGCTGGAGGAGGATGTTTAAGCGGTGACGGAGCGGGTTCGGGCGGAGCTGCGCGGCGAGTTCGAGGAGGAGAAGAAGCGGTTGGCTGAAGAGTGGGCGCAAGAAAAGGCGCAGTTGGAATCGGGTCATGAAGAGAAGCTGAAGCAGGTCCGTGAAGAATTTCAGCAGGAGAAAGCAGAAGCTGTTCGCGAGGCACAGGTTGCTGCCGTGCAGCAGTACAAGTCTTCTTCCTCCTTTGGAAAGATCTTGGCGGATGCGATGACTAAGGCTGTCATCGCGGTGGGCAAGAAGGTACGACCCGAGAACCCGGGCGTTCGTTGGAGAACTCGCGAGATGGTTCAGCACGTGCAGGCGTGGCTGCGCGAGAAGAAGCCACTGGACTTTGACTCCGAATCAGAGGACAAGTCCGAGGAAGGAGAAGATGAGGAGCGTGCTGATGACCAGGTTGAAGGTGGAGGATCCGCTGCGGTGGCGGTTGACGAGATCGAAATTGTCAACGCGGACAATGCGCAAGTGGAGTAGTTGTGATGATTGATTTTTTTTTGTGCAGCGCTAATATCTTAGCGCGCGGTTAATTGTAGTTCCTGCTCCCGTTAAATGGAATCCAAAAGCTCCTTTTTTACATGTGCGGCGCAAATAATTCGTGATTATTGCTAGTTTGTGGACTATACGCGCGATTCGTGATCGACGTTTCTTGGTCCGTTGTGTGGGCGCGAAGAATTCGTGATTATTGCTAGTTTGTGAACTATACGCGCGATTTATCATCGGCGTTTCTCGTTCAATTGTGTGGGCGCGAATAATTCGTGATTATTGCTATTTTGCTTTGTCGGTTTTATTCCACCACATAAATGTGCCATCGTGACCAAATACATGTTAAGCTGGACTGTAGTACTTCCTGAGGTTCTGCGCGTTCCATGTTCTCGGAATTTTGGTGCCCCCCAATTCGCTGAGCTTGAAGGTGTTGGCGCCGACTACTTCGCGGATCAGGTATGGGCCCTCCCATGTCGACGCGAGTTTCCCGTGTTTGGGATCGGGGCGGAAGTTTCGCCTTAGCACTTGGTCTCCGAGGTTGAGCTTGTGAGAGACCAGCTTAGCGTTGTAGTATTTAGCTACTTGCTCCTTTGTTGCTGCAAGCTTGATGGACGCTAACTCATGTCTTTCCTGCGCCAATTCGAGGTCTAGAATGCGCGCCTCTTCATTGGTCTCCCCGTTGTACATTGTGATCCGATAAGTTGGGGCTGTTGTCTCGATGGGAATCACCGCGTTAGTGCCGTACGTGAGTGCGAAAGGCGTTTCACCCTTCGCTATTTTGTATGTTGTGCGGTGTGCCCATAACACCGTGTTGAGTTCGTCGGCCCAATTGCCCTTAGCGTCGTCCAGGCGGGTGTGTAATCCGTGTAGGATTGCTTTGTTGGCCGATTCTGCTTGGCCATTGGCTTGGGGGTAAGCCATTGACGCAAACCTTGCAATTGCTCCTACTTGGTCGCAGAAGTCAATCACCTCCGCGCAATCGAACTGTTTCCCGTGGTTGAAGATGAGCGCATTCGGGACCCCGAAACGCGACAATATGTTATTTTTCAGGAAGCATGTTACCTTTTGCGCCGTTATCAAGGCGAGTGCTTCCGCCTCGATCCACTTGGTGAAGTAGTCCACCGCCACGATTATGTATTTGCGCTTCCCCTTTGCGGTTGGAAAGGGACCCAGGAGGTCCACTCCCCATTGCGCAAAGGGCCATGGGCTCAGGTTGCCTTGGAGTTCGGTTGAGGGAAGGTGGTGTTGGCGCGCGTTCACTTGGAACTTGTGGCATTGGTCCACAAATT